GTGAACGACGTTACCGCGAAGACTCGTTTATTGGAAAAGAAGAATAAATGAGCCTGGTTTTGTACTTTGTATATCATGTGGAGGGAGGTGGGAGGTGGGGAGAGGGCATTGTGAGAGTGAGTTCGAATAGTATTTTCACATAAAATATATTATCGTGATGGGAAACTAGATATCTGTGGCTGTATCAGATAATAACTAGTCACCACATAACGTCAGTTAAGTTTGAAAACATGATGTACAAAATACAAAACCGGCCTCATTTATTCGGCTTTTCCAACAAACAAGTCTTCGCGGTAATGTCGCTGTATCGCTGATCACATAACTAAAGAGAATAAATAAATGTAAATAACAAACGATACTGGTGGTTACAGTCGAAACTCCTCTCAGTAGAAGAAATTAGAGATACAGACCCTGGCTTGTCGAAACAGACGACATAAAGTAATCGAACAAGTGACTCAGAAGAGTGAAAGAAACCTCAGCGCGTGTACATGTTCAGATCAAACATTATTGCTGGTACTTTGGGTAAGGGATCAATGACTGAAGAGTGGAATATGTGTGGAGAATGAAAGATGAATCGATGACGTTAACCACCTGTGACATGTAAAGAGAAAGAGTGGATTTGGGATATTCGAGTTGCATGTCGTGGTAGAACAGTAAAAGTAACTGTCTATGCCGATGATCAATATCATAGTTTCAGTTACGAGATTGATCAATGAACATCCTAAACAACGCCACATTTTCTCATTCTGCCAATGAGCTTCGCCTTCCAAATGGACAATGGATGACGTATCATCACTGCAATAATCAACTTCGTATTATTGACAAGGATGTTCGATTAGAACACGATGAAATGCTGCTCGAGTCTCTACTGTTTTTCGTTAAAAAGTTATGATCATTTTAATTTAGTGAAAACTGTGCCGGAATCACACGCTTACATCGTTTTCAGAGGTGATCCGAAGCAGGGGGCTGATGACCTCCTCACCAATAATTGAAAATAATGTTTTTCACCTCCCAAATGAAAAAAACTTGCAAAAAACAGCTCGCGCAGTGAAAAGTTTCCAGTTAACCTCCCAAACCCCAATCTGGAGTCTCGGACCAACTCTGATCATTTTTCCTGTATTTTTCGTTTTAGAGGTTATCTAAGGTGATTCTGTCGTAAAGAACTTCAAAGATATTTTTGAAAAGTTGATTATTTCGAAAGAAAACCATTAAAATTGTTCTATTTCACCTCAAACAGGGAAAAAATTCTGAAGATTATATTTTGCTTTTCACACGAAACACCTTCTGGAAAAATAAGGAGTAATGTTACTTTCTCTTCTTCTTTTCAAATAGCAGACACTATTTTATATTTTTCAGTAGTATTTCTTTAATTTTATCCTATCTCAAACATTGGATAAGATGTTCAAAACATGAACTAGAATACATTATATATTTACAAATTGTTTTAACATGACGCAATTTCTTGAACTGCCAAATTATGGTAATATCCTCCTGGTCAGAAAATTGTCCATTTTTAAGTGTCTGGCAGTAGTGCATAGCTGGAAAGACTGGTTCTATTTTATTAAATTATTATGTTGATTACGAACAAACGATGAAACTTCAATAATTGTTCAAACCGTTTGTTCTCATTCTCTTTTAGAAACAGCATGTTTTATTGTTAGACGTTTTAGGTTTTCTTTCTTTGTTTTTATTCTGCACATTCAAAAATAAATGAGAAAAATATGAATATAGACAAATTCTAATTTCGTAGTATTTTGAAAGACCGATCGTCGGCATTCATAATTTTGTATCGGCATAAAGGACATTCTTCTTTAGTTTCTAACCATTTCTGTAAACATTCTGTATGAAAATTGTGTAAACATTCGATTAGGGGGACATCTGACCCACAAGCAATAGGACATAAACAGACGGAGCAAGCAACGGCTTCCACCTTTTCTTTCCCAGTTTTAATAGATAAATTTGGCATAATTGATACCACATTTTCTTCTGCCTTATTCATTTTCTTCTGCCTAATCTCGATCATCGCTTTAACGGCAGCATGTTTTTCTGCGTCACGTTTCTTGTTAGCAATCTCGCCAACATAGATCGTTCCATCTATTTCAACCTCCGCCTGTAAGGGAAACGAGCAGTTGTCAAAGGTCAAAGATCCTTTTCAGGTATGTGACCAGTTTCAAGCGTGACAATAGTTTCTTGTTCTTTGCATATATTCTCCTATAGTCTGCAAAACAGTAATCTTTAACTCTTGTTATACTTCTCATGCCATTCATTCTGCTAAAGCACCCTATACATCATGCTTTTTCTTTCGACCCATGCTGTAAGTGCTTCTCACTCTTTCTTTCTAGTGCTGAGGATTGAAGCGTGTTTGTTACAGATGTTCCACTATAACAATATGTTACATCTGAAGTCACAGTTGCCATATTCTCTTCAGTAGTGCACTACAAAAACGTGTCGTTTTCTCCTCCAGGTTGAGAAGGATAGCATGTTCTCTTTGTAGTTTTCATCTTCTCTTTGTTTTTTCATCGGAGAGCATTAGATTATCTTCCATCTGCACAGCAAATCTGATGAAAGGACATAAAAGAATACTTAGAAGAACCTGTCAAATAATAAAGTGTCCTTTCCCAAGGAATTTACTCGTCTATAAGAACACCCATGATTATACCCTAGAGATCAGATCTTATATATGATTCCTATAGGAATCGTATAGAATCAGATAAGAATCTTATACTACAGTCGATACAAACGCATACTATTCTTATAAGATTCCCATAAAAATTTATACGATTCTTATAGTCAAAAACAAAACAAAAAAAGCTTTTTTTTGTTGCCTGGAGGATGAGGGCAAAGTTTTGAACTTCAAAAATTTTGAACATTTTTTATAAGACACTATAAGATTATAAGAATCTTATAAGAAAATTATAAAACTAAAATCTTACAAAATCTTATTTAATTCTTATAAGATTCTTATATTGCAAATTATAAGAGTCTTATAATTACAGTATGCATTTTTCTCGACTGGTGCATATAAGATTTTCACAAGATTTTTATAAGATTTCCGTACTTTCGGTCGCTTAGGGTAGAAAATAGCTCCGTTTTCTAGTTTGTATCACTTTGTAACGCTCAACGGAGCTATAGCTTTTGCAGCCAGCCGGTCGTCTCGGCTGCGGTCTGAGAAATAAATAGACATAGAAGTAAACAACGTCTAAATGTTTTTAGTAACTTATGTTGTTCTTTGTTATCGGAATAAAATAGTAGCGGAAAGAGAAACAGGTAGTCAAGGATTTTCAAAAACTTGATATTGCTATTACGGGTCGTTAACGGTGGTTATTTTCAGTTTATGTTAAATACAGGCGACATGAGAGTAACCTAGCAGATGAGCGTACTTGAAATATTGGAGAATGACTTGGTCCAGTCTGTAAGATTGTTCGATAGACAGGTAATCGTATACTGCGTTTTTGGCAATATTCTTGAGCTAAATTTTTTGCCAGATTAAAATCCATGGAGCAACTAGTGATCAATAAATAAAATACTTTGCTTAACTGCTTATAGAATCGTTGGTTGTAACTGCATAGTCGCTATTCATTTTTTCTTTTTACCTCTTGTGAATTTGTTTTTGTTCGTTCTTATCAAACATGCGGCGTTGAGTTTAGCTCGTACATTCATGACTTTTTCACCCTAAAAACAAATTTTGAAAATGAAAATATTATTACTTGTTTTGTTAGCAGAGGGGAAAAAAACCTTATTTCATGTTGCAATCAATTTCAGAGCCCATTATGCCTCTAGCAACGACAAGGAAGGAAAAAGAATCAAAATCATTCTTTGCCATTTCATCTTTCTCTGAGTCATCCTTGTGCTTAAATAGAAGGACGATGGTTTTGAAGGAGAAGAAGACACCTAGTGGAAAAAGATAGGTGAACGTGCGAAAAAAACCCATTGTCTTTTCATATAAGCACAAGGATGACTCATAGGGTGACGAGATGGAAAAGATTGATTCTGATTCTTTTTCATTTCACAATTCTTGCTAGAGGCCGATTATGACTAACAACGGAAGCCGTCAAATATATCTTAATGCGTAGAAAGTCGACGCACACTATATGCTGCGTATTTATTTCTTTATGCATCGCTGTAGATGAAGGTCGCTTACTTTCTTTTCTTTTTTCTCTTACTGAAGAGAAAATTCATAGATGTATAGAATAGCCTGGAGTAGTTATGATCAGGATAGAAAATTTTCTCAGTATCCTTAAAGTTCTCCAGCTATTTCCACTGAGCAGGTATCGACTGATCATAATTACTCCATTTGACCAAAAAGAAAACCGAAAAAAAATGGACAGGAACTGAACCAACGACCAGCTGTTTCATGTGTTTTATTGCTCAGGGTACCGCAAAATATGACTTCTTTAAGAGACATAATAGAAAAATTTTCTAAAATTTTTGAACGGTAGGACTGAAAGACCACGGGCCTTCAAATGCGTCCACGGCTTTACTGGAAGTAGTCTCTTTTTGCCTGTATTAATAAAATACCTTTCAAGGAACGTTTGCAATCGAAATATTTCACTTTTTGACTGTGCTAAATGTAGTTGTCCAAACATATTTAACCCTTTCCCTGGCACCCGGATATTCAAATACTATACTTTTTGGTATGCCAAATATTAAAGTATGGTCAAAATCTGCACAAGTTCCTTAAAGATTTTGCTTCCTGAAATTTCTTGATCAAGATTTACTACGGATGCGAGTTCGACATATCTTGAAAATTCTGTATCAAGATCTTGGAAAGATTTGGGAACTTTTCTGAACTCACTAATGTAATTAATAATTAGGAAAATTAGTTCCATATTTGGGCAAGGTAGGTGAGAGAACAGTAACTACAAGAATTTTGCACATACTGATATTCTTTGTGGTGCTACATTATAGAGGACGTGACCTTGAATTCTATTGGTCAACTAGATGCACAAAGGAATAAATTATACTTTTTGTTGTCTTTCACCATTTTTGTTTTGCAGTGCCCATAATCAGTCTGGCGGCCAACGCTTAAATCCACCATATAACAAACCTGTCCTTAATCCAAAATTCAAAATTTGGCGGCGTTAGGCTTACAAGAGAGTACTTAAAGTACAGAACCTGTTCCTAAAATATTTTGTTGATCAAACCTTTCGTTCACAAGTTAAGCTTCTATGCACTATGCAGTCCGCTGAGTGTGAAAAGCCAATCAAAAACAATGGAATCTAAGGGAACCATTATAGACGTGGTATCTGCTTCAGACCCTCAATAACATCCAGTTAGTATCAAAAGTATCACGGTACCACTGCTTTACTTGTGAAGGAAGCATTTTTTAAAGCTCATAAATTAAAACTGACTTGGAAACCTATATTCTGATCCGTTTTCACATAATGTCGCTGCCCAATTCCTTTCCAAATTAATTTTTTCAGTTTCTGAACGACTTCTTGTTCGTTGGCCTTGAGACTGTATATATATATATATGGTCTACGCTGTAAAAAAGTTGAGAAATCTTCAAGTTCGTTACGGACGATTAAACAGCTTCGGTATTGTCTGAACAGTACCGTAAGAGCTGTGAATTTTGGCGTACGGTTGATACAGTACAGTACTACAGAGTGCCCTATAGAATACAGTAAATAAACATAAAAATAAATGAAAGTAATCCCTAACAACCCCAAAAACTATTCAGGATTTATACAGATATCGAAAATCTGTCAAGGTTCTGCTAATTAATTAATAACGAATTAATTGCTTTGTCAGAATCAGTTACATATCTTGATCAAGATCATGATCCACTTTTTTCGAGACAGATTATGTAACAAAACTTGTCGACAATCTTGAACTGCAAGATGATCTCAGAATCTTGACAGATATCGATAAATCTGCATAAGATCTTGAAAGAACTGAACGAAAGCTTAAGAAATCTTTCAAGTTTTTATCAAAATCTGCAGTCAAGGTTTTTTACTTGGAATTTTGATTAATTTTTCTTTGATTGATGCTTTTTTATTAATACCTTAGATATAGTGATTTTCAACATTTTTGGTTCACTAGGTCTCCAATGCTACCGTTGACACCAGACACAAAACCACCTATTGTTTCTTTGAGGCAAGTTTTGATGACGTGTGCAATCGAGAAAAAGATGAAAACCAGCACATTTCCTCGATATTACTATAGATTATGCCATCCAATTTTCAGAAGAAGAAAAAAGTCAAACATGTTTTCATTCTGCTCCTATTTGAATCGATCGACAGGGTAGATTCTCCTGTACTGGAGAAACTAAAAATGAAATTTGTACGAGGAGAAGTGAATGCAAAGATTCACCGACTATTCTGCGATCGTCTCTTCCACGAACATTTTCCCTCGACGACTCTTCCACGAATTTTTGAAAATAGCGGTTAAAAAAAACTAAACTTTAGAAAACTAACAAAATAATGGATATTACTGAACGGACTCTTTATAAAAGTTTTAATATAGCTTCAACTTGAAATACTGACATGTCACTGACACACACTGCCAGAATTACCTAAATTTGTATTATGAGAAATTCGCGGAAGAGTCGTGTCACAGAATGCAAAACTTGTAGCAGTTTTTGTGTGCTTTTATAAAGAGTCAAACACTGAACTAATAAAAACCGTGTTTTACCTCCAGAACAATCTGACTTCTGGCTAACTGTATGATCCCAACTAGAGTGTTGTCGATGTACCAAGTCATTAAAAACAATTTAAGTGCAAATGGACCGTCTGTATATCTGTCAAAAAATGTTTATCCTCCCGTTCAGAAAAGATATTTCAAAAATAGCCTCAAGATCCAAAATATTAAAAGATGGGTCAGATTCTCTCATTTAACTTACACACTATATTTATCTTACTCAGTTTTGGACGCTTTTTCGAATGGCTTAAACAGAATTTTTTTTCAGTCACTCATACCTAAGATGGCGCGGTCACACTGAAGAGTATCGCACTTTTGGCTTGAAGTCGTGTATTAGGCCTAAGGAAAGAGCGTTTCAAAATTATTTTTTACCAAAATGTAGCCCTTACGCTGCTCTTCAAAATGTAATATGAGTCTGTTTTTCTATCATCTTTACCGATAGAGAAAAATCAATTTTAAAAATGTGCGAATATTTTTTTCTCCCAAAGCTGATACGTCCTACTTGTTCTACTCATAACTTCTGCAGCAGAAGTCAAAATCAACCCGAAACTTCAGCACAAATAGAGCAGCTTTCGTTTCATACGTTGGAAAGCTAAAAGAGGTGTTTTAATAAACCAGTTAAATCGAAAAAACTCATCGTACGAATACTTTTTTCCGCTAGTGTATATGTACAAAGGACGGCAGCGCATAAGGGTTAACATTTTGCTTTAACTAATCGGACCAAAAGTTTCACATTTGTTTGACTCGACTTGGTAACATCTTAAGTTGTCATCACATGAGTTAAGAAGAAACAAAATTTTTTTCGTCGCTCAACTCGTAGAGGAATCCACAGATATCGATTATCTTAGACCTATACTTTCTCTTTTAAAAGAAGGGCAAATGATTTTAAAACTTAAGTTTATTTTATTACACTGTTTAAGAAATAATTCGAACCAGTTTTTTCAGTCCTTCCTCTATATAAACTAAATTACCCTTCTTTAATAGTCATGTGAGTAAAATCAGGAGAAGCGTACAGATGCTGAAAATATTCCTTTCACATAGTAAAAAGTTCAGCAAGTATTTGAGCTTGACTGCTCTCCGCCCGATTAAGACTTTTTGCAAAAAAATATTCGACTATAAGATTTCATCCATCTTTTAAAAGCCAGTCTGACAAATTATCCTTTGTTTTCTTACAAATTCGACACGAATCCTTACTGAGCTGGAGGTCACAAACTTCTTACAGAAAAACAGAGAATTTTTATTTAGCACTTCGGCTTCCGCAGTTCAGTTGTGAGAAAGCAGTGAATACAAAGAGCTTGAAATCAATGGACATGAAGAATACGCACTCGATATCAAAGCTTGCTTTGGATAAAACCACGCTGAAGGTGTCTACAGAGCTACGGGTTCAAAAAACCTTTTCTGTTTTTATTCTTCTTAGCACTGCTGGAGAAAATGTAAATCAAAAATAGCAATGCATGAAAAGCCGCAGTTGCTTTTATGTATTTTCAAAGCATATTTAACCATATTCCGACACAAGCGCTGGTTTTTGAAATGATGGTTTTCATGACTTATTTTAATTTTGAGTAAAAATAGTTTTTTCATCTTTGGCCTGATCTGACCAGCTAAGCAAACGATTCTCTTCAAATACGTTTTTAAAGGAGGAGGTAAAATTAAGAGTAATGCTGTCAGACGCGCTTCATACCTGGCGACAGGATCTTCCAATTCATCCTCCAACGATACGTAGTCATAGATAAAAGGATAAGGCCAAGCAGAAAGTAAGTACAGATACGACAAAAACGGAACTAGGATTTCTTTGCACGGAGAAGACGAGTATCGACATAATTAAGTTCTCCGGAAGGATTAATCAACTCTTGCCAGC